ATTCCTGAAGCTGAACAGGTCGGGGGACTTGCTCCACCACATATCAGAATTTATTCTAAGGTTCAGAGTTTAGGGCAGGAATGGACGAGTTGGCCAGTGAAACAGAACCAAGCACCAGGCATTGACTCTGGCATAGGACAGAGGTGGCACTGCAGACCACTGGAGAAAGGAGGGACCGTTTTTAATAAGTGGTGCTGGGACAAGAGGTTATCCTTAGGGACGGACAAATTGGATTTCTACCTTTTGCCATACCCAGAATCAATCCAAGAGAAATTAAAGGCTTAAATGTGAAAGGCAAAGTTTTAAACTGAGAGAAGAATATCTTTATGATCTCGGGGTGAAGGAGAATTTCTCCAAACACGAGAAGCACAAGTCATCAAGGAAAAGATCGATCCTTTTAACCAACTCCCTGGGCATGGACCTGTACTGGTCCGTGGCCTGTTAGGAACTGGGCCACACAGCCGGAGGTGAGCGGTGGGCGAGCGAAATTTCATCTGTATTTGCAGCCGCTCCCCAGCGCCAGCATCACCGCCTCAGATCATCAGGCATTAGATTCTCATAGGAGCACCGGTCTCTGTTGCCAAAAAGGTTGGGGACTGCTGCCTTTAACGACATTAAAAATAACTTACATTCATTCACAAGTTACCATAAAGAAGGTAAAAGACAAATCTTAAACTGGGATAAGGTGTTTATGACATATGTTAACAAAGGTTAATATCTAAATATATAAAGAACTTTAAAAAGAAGAAGAAAAGACAACCCAATAGAAAAATAAGCAGAATTCGTGACCAGAAGAGGAAAATGAGAAGCCCACCAACTTATGGGAAGACATTCGACCTCATTAGTAGTCAGGGAAGCACAAGTTAAATCTCGTGAGATTTACACCCGCCGGCTTGGCAAAAATGAACAACTGCCAGCGCCGGCCTGGTATGGTGAGCAGTGAAGACTGTCACCACCGCTTCTGGAGTATAACCAGCTTTGGAGGACAACCTGAGTGTTATCTTTTAAGGCCGTGTACTCACCCGACCTCTAGACGATTGATTCTTCTGATGAAAGCTGCATCCATTCATCATACAAGGATGTCCACAGCGGCTCTGAATGGTGAAAAGCACAAGTTTCACACCTACAGCAGAGGAGGTTAAAATTGTAGTGTGTTTATAAGTGGAATACCATACAGTGGGGAAAAGGGTGAGCGATGGCTGCGTGCACGAACACAGATGAATCTCAAACATACCTCGAGCAGAAAAAGCAAATCACAGAATACAGGCAAACATAGAATATATGATTAAGAGTAAAACTCAGGGCAAACAAGATAATAAAGCACAGAAATGAGGACTGTTTCCTCAGACGAGAGGCCGCAGTCAAGGAGCTATGGTTGGTCTAACTCTATCTGGGTGGTGGTTGTATGAGTGTCTTATTCTTTGTAACATATATACTAGATATTTTGTGTATGAATTGTTTTATTTAAAAAAAAAAGCGGGTGATAGTAATGCCTTCCATGTGCACAGCTCAAACGAGACCATCGAATGGAAAACGTCAGCTTCGTTTTAATGGGCACTTACTCTGTGACCAGCACTTGAGCTGCGTTTCTCACGTATTTAGCACAGCAACGCTGTGAGAAGCACATGCAGTCCAGGGCTGGGCCGTCAGCTGTGGCCCTGGCAGAGACCTAGGGACGCAAGGTGAGCGTCCATCTAGGCAGTGACTCCTTCTGCCTCCCCACAGGTGCTGAAGTCCACGGGGGATGTGGCTGGAGGCCGGGCCCTGTACGAGGGGTATGCAGCGGTCACTGACGCGCCCCCCGAGTGCTTCCTCACCCTCAGAGACACGGTGCTGCTCCGCAAGGAGTCTCGGAAGCTCATCGTTCAGCCTAACACTCGCCTTGAAGGTAACAGGCTCCTGAGCCCCCTTCGGCGGGGGCCATGCAGTCCTGTGGGAGCACAGAAAGGGCCTGGAACTGACTGGAAGGCTCCCCGGGGTGACTCCTGCCTCTCTCTCTTTCTGCCACAGTCTTCCCCATGCCAAACCTCAGACCAAAACCGTGGCATCTGCCACCACCGTCACCACCACTGCGCATACAGAGTTGCGCTGGTTGTCAGATGGCAGCAGAAAGTTTGAGAAAGGCCAGCAGAGCAGGGAACCCTCAAAACAGACCCATTTAACAGATGAGTAAATAGGCTCAGAGAGAGTGCTGCTGGTGGTCGCCAGCACTTGTTGAACACTCACTCAATGTGTTATTTTTTTATTTTTTATTTTTTTAGGTGAGGCAACCCTTGGTTGACGTCACAGATTGCAAGGACTTTGTCATCTTACAATCCCTTATTTTTTTTTTTTTTTATTTTTCTCGCCTCCAGCACCTAATCTTCCGAGGTGGTCTCCCATCCAAGTACTAACCAGGCCCGACCCTGCTTAGCTTCTGAGATCAGACGGGATCAGGCTTGTTCAGGGTGGCATGGCTGTAGTTGATGTGTTATTGTATTTAATCACCACAGCATCTTGAGAGAAGAGGTATCATGCTCACCCCCACTTTACAGATGAAGAAACTGAGACTTAGAGAGCTTGAGAAACTTGCCTGTGGTCCCACAGTAGACAGTCGAAGCAATTGCTGGGCTGTAAGGTCCCAGAGCCCAAGCACTGTGTCTATTTCACCTAGCATGGCACCAGGCGTAAATCTTTATTAAGTGAATGAATGAATGAATTCAGCAATTCACTAAGTACTCCTTTAATATTTCCTTCCTCATAGGGTTATTATAACGATTAAATTAGGTAATAAACCTAAAACATTGAGCACAATTTTGGGCATATGGTAAGAGCGCAGGAAGAAATAGCTGCTTCGATGATTGATGATGATGACGATTCTGCTTCCCTATTAAGACCTTTCCCTGCCACTGTTTTTTTCTCCATCTTTCCCAGGCTCAGAAGTGCAGCTTCTTGAGTACGAGGCCTCAGCCGCCGGTCTCATCCGATCCTTCTCCGAGCGCTTCCCAGAAGATGGGCCCGAGTTGGAGGAGGTCCTCACCCAGCTGGCCACAGCCGATGCCCGGTTCTGGGAGGGCCCCAGTAAGGCCCCATCTGGCCAGGCTTGAGGCAGATTTGTACGGCCCCTCCCCTACTACATCAAACCAAGGCTGCAAGTGGCCCCTTTTTGTGTGTGTATTAGGGCTTAGTGGAGGGGCAGGATCTCGGGCCTTGGTGCTACCTCAGCCAAGGGTGGTGACACTAACCCCTTCCATCTGTCAGCACTTTCCACTTTACCAAGTGCTTCCCCTGTGTTATCTCATTTGATCTGTGCTGCCCTCTGTGGACTGGGCAGGGCAGGGTGCCTTATCCTGCTTCCCAGGTGAAGAAATGGAAGTTCTAAGAAAAGATCTGTCTAGATCCTGCGGGACACAAAACGTCCCCCAGTCCAGTGCTCTTCATGTATTTTATAACCAGAAAAATAAATACTGGAGACAACCACCACCTTTAGGGTTTGTATGATTCCTCCTTGACTTTGCCTTACTTCTCTGTTGCTCCTGGCAGGGTAGTGGGATCAAGGCCTGGGGAGGGGGCAGGAGGGTAATTTTGTAGGCTACCATCCACAGCAGGATTTTGGCATCACCTCTAAGTGAAGATACGCACACAGTTACTAAGGTGAACGTAGCACAATTTTTGCAGTCCTCCTTTGTGGAAATTCTTGTATTTTAGAACAGGGGTCCTCAACCCTGCCCCGGGCTGCAGACCATACTGGTCTGTGTCCTATTAGGAACCGGGCTGCCCAGCAGGAGGTGAGTGGTGGTGAGTGAGCAAAGCTTCACCTGTATTTGCAGCCGCTCCCCAGCGCTAGCATCACTGCCTCAGCTCCACCTCAGATCATGGGGTATTTGATTCCCGTAGGAGCACCGGCCCCTGGTGCCCAAAAGGTTGGGGACCGCTGTTTTGGAATGTTCCGGGAGCCTAAAAACTGGAAACCTTCAACTTCAGTCAGGATCCCAGGACTTAATCTCTTAAGCCTTGTCAGGTTTGTTTTGTTTTTGAACCTGGACCTCAGGAAGAAAGGACATGGTCTCTTTTCAACCCCAAGAGTGGACGAGTTACTTCTGCAGCTCATAAACTCTGGAAGGGTTCCTCTCCAGGACAGGTAGCCAAAGGGCTCTGCTACTGATCCAAAGATTACAGGGCCCGGGTGCTCCCGCTGGGAAGGAGCAAAGATAAATCGTATGAGCTGGGGTGAGAGATTGCGCTTCAGCAAGCAGAAAAATAGCGGAGGCCAGCACATCCTACTTGGCAGTCTTTCTGCCGCGGTCCGAAAGCTGCGCATCCGGAACCTTTGTACGCGCGGTTCCTGGAGCCCGGGCGCTGTTGGGCGTTGCGCGGCGGCTGGCCAGAGCCGGTTGCCAGGGCGACGCCTGCAAAGATGGCTACTGCGTCTTCATCGGATTCCGACAGCGGCAGAGCTGAGAGGTGAAGGCTGGGGTCCTGAGGCCTCCTTTCCTACAGATGTGAAGAGGGTGCCCCAGTTTGTGTGATCTGAGCGCTTGGCGGTTCTCGAACTGCGCTGGCTTCCTGAAGGGCTCTTAGAAATTAAATAGGGAAACTGAGGTCCAACGAGTGAGTGTGCGTGTGTGTGTGTGTGTGAGACTCAGGGTCACCCAGGGCACCAGTGGTGGAGCCTGGACTTGGACCCAGACGTTCTATAACCCCAGGTCAGAGCTCCCTACACACCTCACCCTTAGAGCCCAACTCCCTCAAAGCTTTCTTCCCCTCCCTTGGTACTCACTCCCCAACCCTTTCCCTCTCCTAGCAATGAGGCCAATTCGAAATGGCTGGATGCACACTACGACCCCATGGCCAATATCCACACCTTTTCCTCCTGCCTGGGTAAGTCTCTGGGACCAGAAATCCCGGGTTTTGGGGAGAAGGAGGAGTCATAGTGGGCTTGAAGTGACGCTTCTAGGATTCTGAGACCCTGGCTTGGCCTTTTTGTATTTTCCAGCACTGGCGGATTTACATGGAGACGGGGAGTACAAGGTAAGTGTATCACCACAGCAGAAAGAGAATTGGAAGGGAAATACCAGAAGTGAGATTTCCTGATGGCTCCAAAGAAGCTCTGCATAATCTGGAATTTATATATACTCCGAAAAAGCACATTTAGGGTTAAATTTTATATGGAAGACAGAACGAACCTATTGATTTCATCATGCAGACTGCAGAAAGTAAAGCAGAATGCAATCCTCCTGGGGATTTTACTAAGACAAAGCCTCTTAATTTTGTTAGCATAATTCCTGGGTGGAAGGGCACATCCCTTGGTTTGGTGTGGGAGCGTTAGAATCTGGAGGGGAAGAAGAAGGGAGGGATTTGAGTTTTATGTTTATCAAAAGGTCCTAGATTTTAACATTAGCCATGAGCTGATAATTGTTGAAGCTGGATGATGGGTATTTGGGGGTTCATGATATGAGTTTAATTTTGTGTATGACAGACATTTTTCCATAATAAAAAGGCTAAATTTTTAGTTTAATTTTAAATATAAAACTAAGTAAAATGTAAATAAAGAAATAAATGAAAAATTTAAAGGCACAGGTTTTTAAAGAGTTGAGAAATATATTGGGCTAAAGAAAAGTTAACATATATTTAGTATCCATTTCTGGACTAGACCCTCTTCGAGGCATTTTCACATACATAGATAATATCGATCCCCATTTTGTTAATGGGAAAATAGATTCAGAAAGACTAAGTTTACTGGGTTTTTTACCCAGTAGAAAGTGGCAGACCTGGGTATTCTAAGTTATGTGTTTGTTCCACTATAGCTCAGCCTTCACCATGGGCCGTGAACCCACAATGGGCATATTGGGGGAGCGGCTAGAAGATAACCCTGGAATCAAACCCTGCATGGAGAGCGCAATAGGATTCGGTGCCTTTTGCCACCAAATTCCTGTCTGTAAAGCATTCAGCAAGCATACAGTGAATCCCTACTGAGTGTCAAGCATTGTACTGACATTAAACTCAGAAACAGTCAGGAGATAGAGACACTTTCCTTAATTCATCCATGATATTGACCGAATACCTAGTGTGTATTTGGCACTGGGTTTACAGCAGTAAAGGGTAGAGAAATCACCGACCCAGAAACTAATGTGAAATGTTAAGTGATTTCATGTAGTAACTTTTTTTAATGGCTAATATGTTTCCTCTTGATTCCCAGCATCTAAACCAGTACCTGGTACAAATTAGGTACTTGATAAATATTTGTGGGGTATGTGAGTGGATGCTAAAATAGAATATATGGAAAGTAGTATGGGAGCACCAGTGACAGAATAATGGAACCTACCCAGAGGCACTGGCAGGCAGTAGCATGTGAACGAGGTGTTGAAAGATGAGTAAAATATGCATCAAGAAGGCATGGAAGAGAAGAGGGAACAGCACAAGCGGAAGCACAGGAGCTTGCAAGTTCACAGCATATTTGGAAAGAGTAAATCTGGAGTTAGAAAGTTGATGCCAATGTAACATAGTAGATAAGACCACTGGCTTTGGGTTCAGACAGCCCTAGGTTCCAGTCCCAGCTCTACCACTTACCAGCTATGTGACTTTGACCTCACATCGCTAAGCCACCGCTTCCTCATTTGTGAAATGGGCTAATAATATCTACCTCATAGGTTGTTGAGAGAATTAAATGGAAGTTCCTGGTGTGGCTCCTGGTACACTGTACATGCTCAGAATCTGGACGTTCTGTGGCAGCCCCCATTCTGGCTAGAGCAAAGCATGGCTGAGAAGGAGATAGAAAACAAGTTGGGAACCAGATCAGAGGGGACTTGAAGGCTGGCATACAGCAGGCCTTGAAGAAATGTTTACTGAGTGAATAATGAAAACATCAGCTGCCACCTACTCCTCACTAGCACTCACCAGGTTCTATAATTCATTATCTCATTTGATTTTCTCTACAAGTGCCATGAGGTGGATATTCTTATTTTGCTGGTGGGAAAACCGAGGCTCAGAAAGTTTAATCAACTTTCCCAAGGTAGAGCATGGAAGCCTTATTGCAGAACCTTTGTCATCATCACCCCCCATGGTACAGTGGTGTGGGAATCGATGAACGTGCATCAGCAAAGAGGCTGAACCCAAGGAGAGCATCGGTAGAGAGGTCTTTAGACCCTGAAGCTAGAATAAGCCAACCTCTCTCTACAGCTGGTGGTGGGAGACCTTGGCCAGGGTGGGCAGCAGCCCCACCTGAAGGTGCTCAAAGGACCCATGGTGCTGACTGAAAGCCCACTACCTGCACTGCCGGCTGCTGCCGCCACCTTCCTTATGGATCAACACGAACCCCGGGCCCCAGCTCTGGCACTCGCCTCAGGCCCTTGTGTGTATGTTTATAAGAATCTTAGGCCCTACTTCAAGTTCAGCCTGCCCCAGTTGCCTCCAAACCCCGTGGAACAAGATCTTTGGAACCAGGCCAAGGAGGTAAGTCATGTGGCGGAATGGGAACAAGAAGGCGAAGATGGCAGTCACTGGGTCATCCTCATTCCCTGCCTGGCTCTGGAGCTCACAGGCTCTTCCTTCTTCCCATGCTGTCATAGGACCGGATCGACCCCTTGACCCTGAAGGAGATGCTAGAGGGCATCCGGTGAGAGCCCACCTTCCTCTTCATAGGCCTCCCACCCCTCCCTCACTCCCCACCCCCACTGTTTCATCCCAAAGCTCTTGGTCTGACCCCATCCCAGGGCCCTGTTCTTCAACTAAACCCGCCATGATTGCCTCTCTCCTTGCAGGGAGAAGGCGGAGGTGCCTTTGTCTGTACAGTCGCTCAGGTAAGGGCCCTCTGGAGGGCCGGGGCTCTGGCAGCTCCAGCGGGAAGGGAGTGGCTGCAGAGTGGCCTGTGGAGGGCAGCCAGGCCCAGGCATGCAGATGCCAGTTCTCTCTATGCCCAGGTTTCTGCAGCTGGAGCTGAGTGAAATGGAGGCGTTTGTGAACCAGCACAAGTCCAAGGCCATCAAACGTCAGGTAATGCCCCTTCTCTTTTATTTCTCTAGAAAAAATGTGGATAATTTTTAAAAAACCATATAATATCAGTGGTATATTCTACAACCAAACCTGACTAGTTGCAGTTTGCAGTTTCTCTTCTAACCCATGCCACATATATATGGTCACAAAGCTGCAGAGACGTCTACATTTCCAATTCACAGTGACAGCTTTGAATTGATCTGTAGTTATATAACTCTACAGAACTTCTGTTGTCTTGAGAGTAAAGATAATGTATTCTTATTAGAGAAAATTTAGAAAATAAAGAGAAGTATAAAGGAGAAATATAAGTGACTACAATCTCACTACCTAGACGCACTCCCTCTTACCATTTTGGTGCATTTCCTTCATAAATATGCTTTTATATCCTGCTTCCCTTGAATAGGTAGCATTATATCTTATGCACTAAATAGTCTTTAAGAACTCTGTTTTTAGTGGCCCCTTGATGATCTCGATTATTCATTATTTCATTCATGGTTTATGTAACTATTCACATGCAGGTCTTCAGCTCTTCAGACCAGAAATGGACTCTTTTATTCACTTCTTTTTTTTGTTTTCTTAGTTATAATTTTAATTGCTTTATTGATAAACCTATTCATTGATGAACTCTAGTGGTTCCTGACCTGGGGGCTGACCCTCAGTCGAGGAACAGACTCCCAGAGCTATTCTCCGCATTTTAGAAAGGCTCATGGGAACCATCTACTTTCTGTAGAGGCCACTCAAGCCAAGCACGTTGACCAGCACGTGCCTCAGTTTTGGGCCAGTCTTAGACCATTTCTTTGAAAAACACTGTGTTCTCCTGCTGGTCAGCATCTCAGATCCACAGTTGTCGCGATCTCTGAGTACTTCTAAAATTAAAAAGTGAATTAATTATTGCTCAAAAGATGCAGTGTGGAGGTAGGGGACAGTCTTTCCAGGTGTGTGTCATGTTAGACGTGACTGGGAAGCGTTAACTTGCACACTTCGGCAGCCTTTCTCCTTCCACGAGGCACTGAGAAGAACTGCACGCAATGAGCAGCTTTATCCAAAGAAACATTTTTGGTCCCACTAAATTATTTCCGTAGGAGAAATTCCTAAAAAAGGGATCATCCTTTCTCTTTTGTTTTCTCTCTAATCATAATCACAATTACAAAAGGAACACGTGCCCACTATAGAAATTATAGAAAAGCACAATGAAGAAATTAAATATCACCTATGATCTCATTGTCCAGAGATAACCAGTGTTTGTATTTAAGGGTTTAGCCTTTCATCATGTTTTTCTATTCATATATTTTTAAAACTGGGATTATACTAATGTAACTTTTTGCCAATTTTTTTGTTGTTGTTGTAATACTTTAGAAGTGTTCTCTCTGTTAGCGAATCTTCTTTTAAAATGTGATTTAAAAAATGACTACATGGTTTAGGATCATGTGGATAGTTCGCAATTGACTTAGATATTCCTCTTTTATTAGAAAGTTAGGTTTGTGGCAACAAACACCTTTGCACATAAATTTATGTCGCGTTTCTGATACTCTTTCTTTCATCCTGGGAGTGTAAGGGGGCGGGTATATGGGGATCCCCCAGGTGACTCCTGGATCCTCCTGCAGACAGTCATCACCACCATGACCACCTTAAAGAAGAACCTGGCTGATGAGGATGCTGTGTCCTGCCTGGTCCTGGGCACTGAGAATAAGGAGCTCCTGGTGCTGGACCCGGAGGCCTTCACCATTTTGGCCAAGGTCAGTGTGGGGCCTGACTCTGAGCATACCTGAGGTCCAGGCTGCATTCCCCCACATCTCCTGCACCCAGTTAGTTCTTGGTAATATGTGTTCATTGTAAAAAAATGTAGCTAAACATAAAGAAAAAGATATTTATCCCCAAATCCCAACACCCACAGATAATCTACTATTAGTTTTGGCACATGTCTTTCCAGACATTTTCATATTTAGAAAGAGATATTTAGCTGTGTATAAATATATCTTTATGGCATCGGATCGTGTAACCTGCTCCTTTCACATAGCAGTAGCTCATCAGTGTCTTTCCGCATCTATAAAAAACCACATCCGCCTTTTCAAAGGTCACACAGTATCTATTATACAGATCTATCATAATTTATTTAATTATGTCACTTATTTAAGTTGTTTCCAGTTTTTCACTATTTTTAACAACACTGCAATAGGCTTGCAAACATGTTTGCATGCCTGTCTAAATATTTCCTTAGGATGCATTCCTAGAAGTGGCATAGCTTAGTCAAAGAGTATAGACTTAAACAAACAAACAAACAAAACTACATGTTGCTGGATTTCCCTCCAGAAAAACTGTACAAGTTTAAACTGTGACCAACAGGGTAAGAGTGAGGAGGTTGGGACTTAAGACAAGGAACCAACTTGGAGGAGTAGGTTCCTTCGGGGTGGAGGAGGACTGAGGCTCAGAGAAATCAGGACATTTGAGCCACTTCTCTGCAGATGAGCCTGCCCAGCGTCCCCGTCTTCCTGGAGGTCTCTGGCCAGTTCGATGTAGAGTTCCGGCTCGCTGCTGCCTGCCGCAATGGGAACATCTATATCCTGAGAAGGTAGCCACATCTGTCGTCTCGGGGGCCAGAAGGGACATCTCAAATACCCGATGGTTCCAGGGGCTTGGGGCTGGAATTTGGGAATGGGAAGAGCTGAGTTCACACAGGAGGCTGAGCCCACGAGCACAGGGAGCTGTCTAGAGGCTTGTGTTGTGGGGGCTGGCAAAGTGAGAGACCGGGCTGGGTGGCTGTAACACATGAGCAGTGCAGTCAGAAATTGGAAGAAATGACAATAGTCTCTCATATTTGTCATACTGCTTTATAGGTGTGTGATACTTTCTAATGCATTAGTTTGATATTCCTTCAACATTCATTTTTTAATTCAAGAAATGTTTTTGAGCACCTAGTATGTATTAAGCATTGTATAAGGTATTAGGGATATATCAGTGAACAAAATAAAAATAGTCCCTGCCCTTAGGGGAAGACAGATATTAAAGTCAACAAACCACAATAATACTACAAATTGGATGTGTGCAATAGTAAAGGAATACAGGATCAATGAGAAAAAATAACGGGGCCAGGGTGATCAAACGCCCATCTATAGAGGTGACGTGAAGGCGAAGAAGGAGCCAGTTATTCAGAAAGTAGACAGAGTGTTGCAGGCAGAGAGAACTTCAGCAGACTCAAGGTGGGAAAGACACTGGCATGTGCTGCTCGAGGTGCTGAAGAGAGATGACATGGAGACCAGATTGGCTCATGCACAGCCTGCTAGGGTGTGGTAAAGGTTTTGGGTTTTATCTGAAGTGCAGTCGAAAACTGCTATGAGATTTTAATCAGAAGAATGACACGATCCATTTACATTTTTGAAAGATGACTCTGCTGAGTGGAGGGTAGATTGGAAGGAGGCCCAGAGGCCAGTGGGAGGCTCTGGGATGGGTCATCAGATGGGGTATGCATTGGCCTAGACTTGGTGACGAAGAGAAGTGAGCTGTAGTCTGTGATCTGTAGGCAGGAACTGCCCCTGCTTTCTGGATAAGAGAAACTAGGACTCAGGCCAGGAAACTGAAACGGTGCGTTTACACAGAGCAAAGTCCTTAGCATAAATTACTAAATTACTAAACCGCCCAAATCCACTAGCACTTGGTACACTCACTGTAAACTGTCACATGCCCGATTATCACACAGATCACTGTAGTAAAGGCGGGAGGGAGACTCAGAAGAGAACACACTTTGTGTTGTCTGAGGTCACACAGCTACTTGGTGGTACAGTCGGAAATAATACCGTGGTCGTCTGCTTTGGGGCTGAGGTTTCTTCTAGGATAGTCTGTGGGGCTTAAGAAAGAGGAGGGTCAGCCTGGGGAGGAGAGAGGGTTTCTCTGGGGCTGGGAGAGTGTGTCTTCATTCCACAGAGACTCCAAGCGCCCCAAGTACTGCATCGAGCTGAGTGCCCAGGCTGTGGGGCTTGTCCGGGTACACAAGATCCTGGTGGTGGGCAGCACCCAAGACAGCCTGCACGGCTTCACCTACAAGGTGTGGCCTCCCAGCGAGCACCTCTTCCCGCCCTATACCCCTGAGCAGGAGGGCCCTCCTGGCATCTCCTTCCCAGCAACTCCTGCCACCCCCTCCTTCCACTCTGAGCCCCGGTTCCCCTGTAGACACTTGGCTGTTCCCTCCCAGGGTAAGAGGCTGTGGACAGTGCAGATGCCTGCAGCCATCCTGACCATGAACCTGCTAGAGCAGAGCTCCCGGGGCCTGCAGGCCGTCGTGGCCGGGCTGGCCAACGGAGAGGTCCGCATTTACCGTGATAAGGCCCTGCTCAACGTCATCCGCACCCCGGTGAGTGCCGACTCGTCGCCCCACTCCCGCCGCGGGGGCTGCTTAGCTGCCTCCTGATCCCACTCTGTCCACCACCCTGGACATCTGATGCATCTCAAAAACATTCATTGATTTCCTCATACGCACAGCTCACTGTATTGGGGATAAAACAGTAGCTAAGTCCTTGTCTTCAGGGAGCTTACTGTCTAAGGTGCCAGCCAGCCAGACACAGCTAACTCAAAGCCAGAGTACGGGGAAAGCACAGAGTGGGCAGAGTGACAGGGCACTGGTGAAGGATGAATTGGGATGGAACTCAACAGGCCATTTCACAGAGCAAGTGACAATTTAACTGGGCCTCAAAGCAGTTTGGCAAGTCGATAAATGAGAGAAGAGCATTCCAGACCAGAAACAGCATGAACAGGCTGAGTCATGAGTGCTCTTGATTAAGGAATTCAGGTAGTTTGATGAGTTTGGACAAGAGGTTTTCAAAAACTAAGTCATAAGTCATTAAATTGATTGAGTCACAACCAGCAACATAAAAAAAAAGAAAGTTCAGAGTATATCACATGTGAAACTTATGTGTCTGTACGTATAAAGTATCTTATATTACAATAGAAAATTTGAAAGCAACGGGTTTGGACCGCAGGCTGCTGGGAGGGCGGGCAGTGTGTGGGTTGGGGGAAGGGAGAGGAGAGAACTGATGGAAAAGGCAGGTTGGAGTCAGATGCGCGAGGCCCTAAATGTCTGACAAGGAGGACGAAAGCCTTTGGAGGTTTTCTAGAAGAGACTAGACATGATTATGTTTGTGTTCTTGAAAGGCAGCAGAGGTGAAGGACAGACTGGGCAGAAAGACTAGGCTGGGACTTCCGGTGGGAAGCTGAGCCCGAAAGCCCAGTGGCGTGTAGTCTGGACCTGGCTGTGGCAGCGAGGTTGGAGGAGAGATGAGGGATAGAGATGCTTTGCCCCAGCATTGCCCCAGGCCTCGCCTCATTTCTCACCTATTATGTCATATCTGGGGTCCCCCAGCCTTATCCCTCCACTCCCGGCCTTGCTCTCCCCTCCAAGATATTTTCCCAAGTAAACTCTGGAGTCTCCACCACAGGATGCCGTGACCAGCCTTTGCTTTGGCCGCTACGGACGGGAAGATAACACCCTCATCATGACGACACGAGGTGAGGGGGTCAGACCTGGCAAGGGTTTTAGAGCAGGAGGTGACGGGGACAGGCCAGATCCTGGGAAAGAGGAGGTGGGTGTGAAGCCTGGGTGGACCTGGGTGTGGAAAGCAAGGCCCACAGATGCACATCCTGTCTGGGGGTGGCCCACAGATGCACATCCTGTCTGGGGGTGGCCTCCACTGGAGACACATCAGCGGTTCAACATTGTTCGTTACCCAGGGGCCAGGCCCTGGGCTGAATTGTGTCCCCAGTTCACCCCAGTATCCTCAGCACCTGCCATAATGTCAGGAACATCACAGTGCTCAATAAGTAACTGTGAAATGGATGCATTAACCAGTGGTAGGAGGTTACGCACTGTTTCCTCCCAGAAACTGAGTCTCAGCAGGGAGACAGACACATACAGAAATGAGTCTACGTGAGGCTGATTGTTTGGGGAAGAAATATTGGAATGTAGGATGGGACTGGAGAGGACAAATCTGTTTCTGTCTGTCTGCCTCCTTAGGCGGTGGCCTGATTATCAAGATCCTGAAGCGTACGGCAGTGTTTGTGGAGGGGGGAGGCGAGGTGGGCCCTCCACTAGCTCAGGCCACAAAACTCAACGTGCCCCGAAAGACCCGGCTTTATGTGGATCAGACACTGCGAGAGCGGGAGGCCGGCACCGGTGAGACTTCCTCCACGGCTGCGTCCTTCCTCTTCCTCCGTTGCTCTGGAGCAGCAAGAACGGGATGCGTGCCACCTGGGCGCCCCGAGCCGTGGGAGGAGACCTGGGTGAACTGGGCATATTTCGTGCCTCTGGAAGTCCAGGGACAGCCCAGGGACACCCTGCCTGCAGGCGACTATACCTCAGGTGGCAGGTGCTGCGGGTGAGGAGAGGAGGGAGCAGTTACTTCTCTCGTGAAAGAAGGAGAGTTTGTCCAAGGTTCTTGCTTTTCCTGTTCAGTGGTTCCTGCTCATTCATTCGTTCGTTCAGTACCTAGGATTATGCCAGGCCTTGCGCCAGGTGCCTTGAATTAGCTTAGTCCCTACCCGAGGAACTCAGGCTCCCTTGCCAACTTCATGTTGCATGATGGGTGTAGAAGAGGTCTCTGCAAAGGGCTACCGAGGCCCCTAAGAGTAAGTTTGCTGGGAGACTGAGAAAGGCTTCAGAGAGAAGTAACGTTGGACTTTACCCTGAAATATGATTCCAGGCCAGAGAGGGATAGGGAAGGGTGATTTAAGCCGAAGTCGGGTAGGGGCACAGGGCCCTACCCGGATTCGAGCGGCATCTGCCATGTAGCTGCGGTTACGGTGCAGGAAGGCCAGGTGACCAGAAGGGAGGCCGGAAAGGCAGGTCAGAGCCAGCTCCAAAAGGGCCTGGGATGCAAAGCTAAGATGTTCTGGTTTCATTTAGGTAGTGGGGAGCTGGGAAAGATGTAAAGCAGAAAATACAGTAATTCAACCAACTCCATCCTAAAAAGGGATCAGTTTAAAGGCAAAGTAGAGGATAAAGAAAATAGCTGACAAGCTATTACAGCCTAGAGAATCCAAGAGAAGCAACTGACGTATTTAGAGGAATAATTAGGAAGTTCTCTAAGGTGACGAAATGTAAAATATACAGAAATCAATAGCTTCTGTATATACCGACGGTAACCAGTTAGAAAATACAGTGGAAAGTTTCCATTCACCATAGCAAGGAATCCCCTTGAAATTTAACAAGAAAATGTACAAAGTCTAATAAAGTTATAAAACTACTCTCAAAAACAGAAAAGACCGCCTGAATGTTTAAATGACAAGATTTACCAAGTCTCAGGGTAGCAAGATGTAATGTTGTAATGTCGATTAATAACTTCCACAGTTAACGTGGAAACCTAGCAAAGTGACAGTTCAAATCCCAGTTCATCAATTGATTCTAAGAGTAAATCTAAGAAATTGGAAGTAAGAATGAGGGGACTCAGCCTGTCGGATGGCGGAATAAACTGAAGCTGTAGGAACTCGCAGCTGTGGTATCGATACAGGACTTGATACGAGTCGTGGCACTTTGGGGAAGTCTAGAAACAGACCCTTGTGTATGTGGAAAGTCAGTGTGTCAAAGGTGTTGTTTCAAATTCGTGGGTAAAGGAGAGACTGTCCACAAGATGTGATTAGGACAACTTACTTCTAGGAAAAAAAGTTAGAACTCTACCTCTAACATAAAAATTAATTCTGGATAGGTTAAAAATAAACTGTAAAAGTACGAGAGGAAAAGGAACAATCAATAGATGGGACATATAAAGGTGTAAAACTTCTGAACGGCAAAAGGCACCTCACATACAAAGTCAAGGCCAGACCGGCAGACCAAGGTGCTAAATCTGGAAAGAAGTGACATCAAGAGCGGAGGGGCAGGCGTGGGCTCTGGAGATGGCTTTGGGGAAGAGTCGTCAAATCTTGACAAACGATTAGATGTGAGGGGCGAACCAGGTGACTTGATGGATAGGGACATTGTGACAGGTAGGGAAATGAGCTTGGTTTCTGACTGTTGAATTTGAAGTGTCACCGGCACGTCCAGGCGGAGGTATCCGTTAGGCAGTTAGAAGCAGGAGGCTGTCCCAGACGCCAGGCTGCTGCGATGCACAGTATCGAGTGTGGACTCGGGCCAGGCCCTGAGCTGGGCACTGAGGACCCAGCATTCACGAGTCCCTGCCGTCCCAAGCTCGTGGCTGTGCGTCTGGGGTGGTCACAGCTGGAGCAGGACATAGATTGTCCAGGGGAGGACAGCAGGAGAAGAGGACCAAGGACAAGACTCAGGAACACCAGCCCTTAAGGCAGAACGAAAGGAGGCAGCGAAGAGCACTGAGATGTGCGGGCGGCGAGGTGGGAGGACCAAGGAGGAAGCGAGGAGGAGGCCAGTGTCCAGTGTCATCAAAGGCTGGGCTGTTGGACCTCAGCC